CCAATCCCCAGACTGTTAACTTCACAGAAAAGACAATACAATTGCACTGCCTGGAGCATACAACTGAGACCCATCTGGGTTCCCCACAGCCTGATTCAGAATCTTTAGTAATATTTAATATCTATTTATATTATTTTAACTGACTATAATGGTATTTTTATTTTTAAAATTTTAGACTAAAACAATGCACAAAATTTTTATTGATGGTCATTCTGGTGTCACCCTCTCTGGCAGTATTACCTGGTGTGGTCGGGCCACCTCACTCACATCCTCCTAACAATACCACTAATTATGAGTTGCTAATTAAAATTTGAATAATAGGAAAAGACTTTGAGAAAAAAACTTTATAAACTACGGATGTTAAATTAGTTCAATATACCATTTTTTACATTCCTTAACCAGTCATAGCAACATAGCAGATAAGATCACTAGTACTTTGTTTAAAAGCTTTCAATATATTTTCATGGTCTAAGTTAAAATCCATATCTTTACCCTGGCTTCTAACATCTCAAAACAACTGTGTTCTTATATCACCCAACTTCATACCTCCCCCCACTCCTGCCACCATTGATCACTACTCTTTATATACATGAGTCTTCTTGCACATACTATCACGTCCTCCACTGGCTTGGCTTAAAAGTTAATTCCTTGCAACAAAATTAAGAGACAACCTATACATTGGGAGGAAAAACTGGGAGAATTATATATCTGGATGAAGTTTAACATCCAGATAGGCAAGGGAGCTTAAAAAGCTTCAGGGGGAAAAAAATCAAATTATCTTTTAATTCCATTTTCCTTGAACATTTTGAAGCCCCTTCTTATAAATAACTCCCAGAGCTTACAAAAGGACAAGCAACCCAATGAGAAAAAGAGCAAAGGACTTATATGGAGATACATCATAGAACACATGTAAGTGATCAACAAGTACATAAAAATATATTCAACTTAAAGGGCCACTGTTATTGTGAGGAGGTAACAAAGTCAATTTTGACTCACAGTGACCCCTTGTGACAGAATATACTGCTCCAAAAGAGTTGGTGCTGTGAGGAGCTGATGCCAGGGGCTTAAGTGGAAAGCAAATGTTTTTGAGAATGATGAGGGCAATGAATGTACAAATGCACTTTACACAACTGATGTATGCATGGATTGTGATAAGAGTTGTATGAGCCCCTAATAAAATGATTATAAAAAATTGGTTGGGATATAATATTTAAATATCAAATTAAAATGTTCACAAAATCTGGTGAGGTGGGGGGATTATAGCAGTACTCCTCTTCCTTTTCCCCAATGACATACCAGGGGGCTTGAGAAAATCCCTGGAAACATTCCATTACCTTTTAATTCCATTTTTCCAGGAACTCTTTGAAACCCCCTTTTATACATCTGTAGGAGGCTAGATGTTTTCAATCAAAACAATTTACCCCAACAGATTGAAAGATATGAGAACATAAGCGTCTTTTCCATTAAATCAACGGTTCTCAGTCTACCTCACATGCATAAAGACCAAGTCATTATGTAAAATCAGTGTTCTCTAAGAGTTGGGGAACCAACCCCTTCTTCTGTGCCAGTGGCTCCTAGATTTGCTCACTGGAAGGGGTCTGGTCAGCACATCTCAGAATACATATGGCATAGTGAGTCTTGCTCCCCACCACAACCTTCACTGCTACCTTTAAGTCCACAAGGATTGGGAAAATGGGTGCTCCTGACTCTCCAAGCAACTTCCTTCTGCCCTGGCCCTAGAACACCCCTTCCTCCCACCCCAAGTAGTCCCCTTACCTTTCAGCTATCCTTTCTCCTATATCACCCCCTTCCTTCCTGCCCCCACTAACCTCCAGCTGCTCATCTGTCATTTCACATCATCCCACTGTGGCTTCTTGCCTTTGTGACCAGATTGAGACTTTGTGAATGAAATGGAAGTGTTCCCCCAAGTGGTTAGCTACCATCCCTCTCAGAGTCTGCTCATTACCAGGGACTCCAGTATATTATTCTGGGTGGTGCACAATGGGCACCCCAGGGCTGACCATGACCCCAATTGGAGCCCACACTATCAGTGGTGCCACCTGAGAATATTCTTTTCAAAGATGTCATAAATAAGAAATGTCCGATGAGATGGGAGTAGATAATGATTAATTACAAAAATAAAGTGAGCAGATCCTCACTCATTATTTGCCCTCTTTCCATTAGTTTTCTTATCTCTTCCTCTAAGCTGCTACTGTATTTACTCTCTTCACTTTCCACCCCTCCTAGTTCCTTTCCTTCCATTCTCTCCATCAACTTTTTTAACACAGAATTTTCTACTTCTAAGGAGCTCTGATGAGTGGTGGGTTCCAAGTGGGGTTGCTAACTGCAAAATCAGCAGTTCGAAACCACGAGCTGCTGCTCCTCGGGAGAAATGGGTCTTTCTACTCCCAGCAAGTTATTGTCCCAAAACCTACAGGGCAGGTCTACCCTGTGCTCTAGGGTCGCTGAAAGTCAGAATCAATTCGATAGCAGTTGGTTTGGTTTGGGTTTTTTCCCAACTTCCTGCCAATATAGATACTATAATCCTCTCTACATATTCCTAGACCAAATCAAATTCTAAAGAACCCCTTTAGAACATAGCCTTAGTAAAAATTCTGCCAAATAAAGAAAGGCTTTTAAGAAGTTATTCTAAAAACTAACCTTTAATTATAAGTGGTTTGTTGGTCCAGAATCAAATGAAGACAGCTTCTGAAAATCTTAAAATCTAATTTTGTCTTTCTCTTATTCATAAAATAAAGTATTAAAATTACATATTATCTATGTACCCAAAAAAATGTATTAGACCCTGATCAACATTATTCACAAGGCAGAGACATACACTAAAGCCTCACCAACGTGTCATTATGATCTTATTCATTAATTTAAAATAGACTAAATATCATTGTGATCAAATTATGGTACAATGGCAGAGAAGACTACAGAAAACTAAAAAGGAGAGCTTGAAAATATGAACAAATAGCTGACCGGCAGAAGAGATGGTTGTTATTTTCATTAACTATGCTTAACCACTACTACCAGAAGCTTACCTAACAATCACTATCTGCCAGAATTAAGAATATTTAATATATACTCAGACAAAGCATTACATATGACAATTCACAGTAGCATCTGACAATGGCTCATAAACAGCAAACTCACTATTTAAATTTTAAATACCAGTCAGCAAACTAAGTAATAATTATGATGGCTACTATCAGTAAAAGTTTTCAATAGTTCACAACTTCTCAATGTATAATAGAATACTACTTAATCACCTTCAACTTGCCAAGACTTTTTAAGTTAATGTCTAAGCTGTCATGAAATTATAATAGTGAATATATTTTTTAAAACACTATTAAATTCCATGTTCAATTCTAAAATATTTCAGGCATCTCGTTCTGCCAATGAGGTTTTTCTTCATTAACTAACTATAACTTCATACATATGATATATAAATTTGTAATTCAAAATGGTTGAAATAGAAACTTTTTGAAACTTTTCTTTAATTTGCTCAACTCTTTCCAAAGAAAAATTAAATACCAAATTATTTAATCTTCCTAACATTTCTAAAACTCAAGTTTGTCAGTCAAAAGGAAGGTAAAAATTTGTTTCCAGACAGTAAAAACAGTATTAACACTTTTTATGGCTTTAATAAGATTCATCAAAATTCTATGAAATATTCCAAATAAAATCTAATTCATAATAGCAATGAAAAGAATAGAAAGCAAAAACATAAGGGTAAGTAAAAAAATATTACTAGGATTCCAATTCATGCATATATATTTAAAATACAAACAAAACATGTTTTATATCTCTGCATTAAGTCAACGGCTGCAGACAAGTTCTCTCAGTAATACAACTGTCTTAGGCTTATTAGGGTGCCTTCAAAGAAAAGATCAAATTAGAACAATAGCTTCCAAGGGGATCTGCTGGGCCAGTTAAACTGAAGGAAGAGAGGTCACCTCAGAAGGCTGGTGACTTGTGGGGGAAATTCCAAGAGTAATCTTGATAGATTTTTCTCAAATTCAAGGGACACGGGCTTGATCATAAGGGCTTATTAGGAAGAATTTTTTTTAAACCGGAAAAATGCATTGGTTAAAAAAAAAAAATGCATTGCCAAGAAGGTTGTGTCAAGGTATTTTTTCCGCACAACAATGCTCACCTGTTCTTTCTTCTAGGGAACAAGGGCTGACCTATGGAAATTTGGTTGTAAGTCTTACCTCATTCACCCTAAAGCCCTTGTCTTGCCCCTTCAGATTTGTCTTTTATTCCCTAAACTAAAAGACTCTTTAGAAGGAACATGACCTGCATCCCTGGAAGATGCCAAAACTGTCATTTTGATGAGGTGTGAACTGAAGAGTACAGAATTCTTCAAGGAAGGGTTAAAGAGATAGATGGAAATACTGCTTCATAAGTGTGTGGACCTGGGTGAAGGCTTTATTAAGAAATACAAACTTCACATTTTGGTATTATTATTTAATCTTTCTCAGATTTCAGATTTCACAGCAATACACTTTTATTTACTCTTGTAAAAGAGGAGTTTCATAAAGTTTGGGGGAAATTCCATTTTTTTAATGTAATTTGTCCACAAACATTTTGAGCTCTCTCATATATTCTCCAAACTTCTTCCATTTAATAACAAAACTACCCCAAAAATGAAAACCCTACAGCTAACTATATTACTTACGTAATAGATGGATCCACTTGTTTGTAAGCATGGGCAGCACAAGACCCACAGTACGTATATCCTGCATGGCTAAAAAGAAAAAGATAACATTTTTTTTAAAACTTAATCATCAGATTCAGGATCAAAATATTGTAAAATATACTTTTGAGGGAAATATAACAACAATGTAAATGTAACATTTTAATGTATATATCGATTAAAAGGAAAGAAAGGTAATTATGTCACTTCTAAAAATTAAAACAAATAGTTTGTCATTTTAAACCAGAACAAGAGGAATGGTTACTAAGGAGGAACTGGACTGGAGCTCATTCTTCTGAGACCCACAGAAAAAGCGAAATAAATCACCCCACTGTACTGTCACCAGCCAAAGGATAAAAGCTACTGGCAACCGGAGCATAAAGCAGTATAAGAAAGAAAACATAGCATTTATTAACTGAAACCAGTAACTTAGTTACAAGATTATTATTATTCCTTTCCCAGGCCCTCTCCCTTCCCTAAAGTTACCCCCCAAAACAATCCCTTCTTTTCTCATTTCAGGAAGACAGTTCTCTTTTGGATGGGATCTACTCTGCCTCCATGAATATCATATTCACTGAAACTCTTGATCTTTCCCCCACCCATCTAGTGAATTGGCTCACGTGAGGCAAGCAGCCCTAATCACCCAAGTTGTGTGAACACTTGGGTGGAACAGCCCAATGAGTAACCACTAACCAGGAGAACTACCTGGAGGACTGACTATCTCTACCAACTGTTATGAAAGGTCCTGAATAAAGTGGGAGAAAAAAGGTGGAACAAAACTTAAAAACATAAAAGGGGCCAGGCTTCCTGGTTCGATAAAGACTGCTGTATGCCCTGAGACAACAGTCCTCAGTAAATCCTTAGGTCTGGAAATGAACTCAAACCCATTCCACAATTTCAGCCAAGCAAAAGACAGATCTAAAAGATGAACAATAACACCAGTGAAGTATTGCACACCTAATAATAATCAACCATTTGATATCCAAAGAGCAGGACTTGCCATAGGACCAAGTTCACAAGAGTTAGGAAAGGAGGAAGAATGAGAACATGAGAGGTGGTGGGATTGGGCTAAGTGATGTCTCATCATGGGGGTTTCAATCTATGAGCTGAAACAACATGTGTATTAATTGTTAAATGAAAAATTGACATGTTCTGTAAACCTACACCTAATTCACAATAAAGTCCAAAAAAGAGGAGCTATCAAGATTAGTTATTATGAGGGAAAGGCAAATTAAAACCACAGTGAATTCATATTACATACCTACTAGAATATCTAAAATTAAAGGATGGCTATCCCATATAGAGGACACTTTCATACACCACCAGTGGAAAGGTAAATGGGTACAACTATTTTGGGGGAAAGGTGATTTCTTAACAAATTAAACATTCCTACCAGACAACCTAATCATTCCACTCCAAAATAGTTATCCAAGAGAAATGAAACATTTTATCAACACCAAAAATTATACGCAAATATTCCTAATAAATTGTATATGTGACAGCCCAAAACTGGAACAACCACATGGCCATCAATAGGTAAATGGATAAAGAAATTGTGGTATATACAGCAATAAAATGGAAAGAACTAAGGATATGCTCAAAATGTTTATGCTCAAAGAAGCCAGACAAAAGGGTCGTACAACATGATTCGGTTGCAAACTAGCGACAAAGCAAATCAAAGACAAGAGGAAAGGGCATTAAGAAAGAACAATAAAAGGGCATAAGGAAACTCTGGGAGTAAAGTCTGTTCATAATCCTTTGTCTTAGCTATAGGGATAACGCCATAGGTGTAACACATAAGATCAAAATGTATACTTTCAATACATCCCAAACTCAGAGCCATCAAGTCAATTCAACTCATAGCAACCCTATATATGGCTTCCAAGACTGTAAGTCTTTATGGGAGCTGACAGCTTCATCTTTCTTCCAAGCGGCATGTCTGAATTATCTGAAGTGAGCAGTCCAATGCTTACCCAACAAACAGTGCTACCAGGATTCCTTTATAATAAACTGTTCATTGCAACTAGCTTAAAATGTGAATGGAGGGGAAAACAGAGTAAAATAAGCCAACCATAGCAATTCAAGCAAGAAATGTCCTTAATCAGAAACTAGATGATATGAGACATACGTGAGGGCTTCCCTAAGTTTGTAGAAAAATGAAATTTAAAAATAATGAAATTGTTTTCATGAACTTTTTGAAGCCCCTTTTCACACTAATAACCACAGTAATCATTAGTGTATGCTGGCTCACTATCCCAATATCTATGGCAGCAAAACAAAAGCCAAACTCCCTGCCATCGAGCTTATGCTAAATCATAGTGACCTTACAGGACAGGTTACAACAGTCCCGGTGAATTGCCAAGACTAATTCTTTAAAGGAATAAAAAGACTTTCCCCCTCTGATCAGCGGGTGGTTTTGAACAGCTGATCCTATGGTGAACAGCCCAATGAGTAACCACTAAGCCGCCATGACTACTACCTCTGGCACAGGTGCCTATTACATTACCTCAATAAAACAATCTTTTCACAACCCCAATCTGATCTTAGCCAGAAGGAAATGTGAGTAATTCTTGGCTTAGGGTACTGTTTTGCTGTCATCCTGTGTTGCTCTTGATATTCTACCCTGATCCGAGGCTCAGTTTTGCCTTATGTCCCTACTTTACCAGGGCTGAGAGTCCAACACTGACACTTCATATACCTAACACTTCTTTCTGCTCTTAACATTACAGGTTTTGTTCATTCAAAGGAGCCCTAAGTCAAGTAAGAATTGGACAGCCAGCCACAAGGTCAGTGGTTCAAATCCATCTGCCGCTCTGTAGGAGAAAGATGTAACAATCTGCTCCGATAACGACCTGCTGCTGACCTATATAGGGTCATATGAATCAGAATCAACTCAATGCAAGTAAAGTTGGGTTAGGTTTCTCAATTCAAAGCATAGTATTGTTCCAATTGGAATAGATCTTTAAATCCACCTAGTCTATCCACTGGTTTGTATCAAACCTTCAAGACACTCTTCTTCCTAGCCCACATACATGACAATGGAGAAAATCATAGCAATAACCATCAGATCTTGCCACTGGCCCTCTACATTTTCTCTTGCAAATATAATCTAAGGTTCTACTTATATGTGGAAACAAAGTTTCATCAAGTAGATACTTAATCAGTTATCAGAGGTTCACTGGTAATAACAGAAACTTCACAACAGGAACCAAACTGTTTCTACTGTGCATATCAGCCAGAAAAGCAATGAAAGTCTAAGCTCTATAGCTGTTCAAATATGCACTATAAAGTGGATCCCACTAAAACCTTTACAAGGTTTTAAAATCCTTAAATGAAAAAAAAAAAATCCTGCATACAAGCTTGTCCAAGTCACTCTGATTTACCTAATGAAGACAAATAAAAAATTATACACGAATACCTGTCATTTCTGTAATTAGGCTAAAATCATGCCTCTAAAATCTGATCCTTCTTTGAACCAGGAATACTTTTGCTTCCACACAGCAGACCATTTAATAGCAGTTGGCCCAGGTCCTGACCCTCCAGAAGCGCTTTCCCACAGGGCTGGGACCAAATAATGATACAAGGGTACTAGTTAAGTGATGGTTTCCCACATGACAACCTTGTATTGTGATGGCACCGCCTTTCATGTATTCACTTTCAAGTCATACGTGAATAGTATATCATATATCCTCGTGTATAAGCTGAGTTTTTCAGCACATTTTTTATAGTTTTTGTGGTAAAATTAGGTGTCTCAGCTGATATTCAGGATGGCTTATTACTCGAGTATATATGGTAAACTTTGAATCCTAGAGCCTACCACACATTTTAAGTGAGGCTTTTCTTCAAAGAGAATATAGGGAATAATCAAAGAACACGTAGACAGAAGTTGACAAAATCAAGTTTGAATAAGTTGACTATACAGTAATAGTAAAAATGCAAAACTAAAATGATTAAACTAAATGGAATATTGGACCAGATGAAATGAGAAGATCTCTTTGAGCAAAAGGTTGGTAATTCAAATAAAAAGTCTATAAATCATGATTTGCTTGAGCAAAAATCTAAAAGCTAAGTTATAAAACATTTGTGAACTTAAGACAAACAAATGACAATGAACCAAAATAGTTTGCAGAGTAGTAGCCTACACACTGCCCCTCTCAACTTCATTGTGCTGTATTTTTATTCTTTTCTGTCATGGGCACTGTTCAATGATGCTCACAATCTCTATTTCAAGAAATACTAACACAAAGTGGGTGCATAAGCAAATGTGGTGAAGAAAGCTGATGGTGCCCACTGTCAAAAGATATAG